GTCTTTAGTTTTTTTGAATTTTTTGAATTTGAAATGTTTCATCCTACCAAGTGCTGTACTCCCGTAACCACTTGCTGCCGGGTGAATTTCAAGATTTTCAGTTTTCAAAAATCTTCAGAAATTCATTATTTCAATTAAATTAACGGAGGTTTACACCCACGTGAATTACTGTCTGGTGGCCACTGTAGCCACTGACGCCCGAGTTTTTCAGCCAGGCCTGCAGCCTTGTAAAAAGAGCCCAGATTGTGCGGTGTTTTATAACTTTCTTTTGTTCACAAACCTGGCACAGTGCGCTGTTGACCTCTTTTCAATAGGGGCCAGATTAGCGTGCAGCGGTGCTATGTGGCTCGTCACTGCAATGGTGGAGTGCTTTTGTCCCTGGTGGTAATCGGCTCGCACTAAATGCCCAAAACCGTGGTATACTGTTAAAAACAAGGCTGGATTATCTCCACTATTGAGAGTAAATAAATGTTGGTAATGCCCAGCAGCTCAGTCTTTTGTGCCGAACGTGGCCTTTTGTTACAAGGTCTCGCTTTTTTGTCCCGGTTTCAGGCTCCCTGGCTTCGTGTGTAAAGCCTATGTGCTCGAAAATGGGTCCCCGGGCAGTAAGTGTTTAAATACGCTTAGATTTTTTTGTGTGATTTGTAGAAATGAACCATAATCGCCAAAAGGTGGCTGCAACCCCTGATAGAGAGAATGATGAAAATGCGGCAAAAGTGAAGAGTCAGGGTCCCTTTGGATCTCCGGGTGCCAGTGACTGGGATGAGGACAGGGTGTCAGACATGAGCGGTCTGTGCTCTGGACTGCTCAATCTTCTGTCTGAGGCTTTAGTAGTGCTGCCCGACTCCAGTCTGTCCAAGGTTCTGGGCATCGTCATCAAACCAGAGACACTCATAGTGCTGGCCCACCACGACTCTCCTCTGATCCGGACACGAGTCATACAGGTATGTTTGAAAACTTTCCTGTCCTCTTCCAGAGCTAAAAGTTAAATTTAGTTTGCTTTAATTTATCCTGTGGCTTTTTTTTGTTTGAGGATGACAGATACCTGCTTCAGTGGCTGAAGTTGAAGAATTTGTTTTTACTGCCAATTCGGTGTACAATGCTTGTGCTTTTGACCAAGCTGCTTTTGTTAGCGATAGGCTTCTCTGTATTTGAAATTGTGCACACTGCACATGGCACTCTGGTTCTTTTTGCTCACGGAGCTGAGATGCATCCAGGAATTGATAAGATTACTTGCTGGTTGAGTGATTCATGCCTTCAGCAGTGTGGAAGTATGAAGTTGGTTTTTTTACGTCCTTCAAGGCTGAACTAATATTTTTGGAACGGCATTTGCAGATGAAAAATTCTGATGCTAATGTGTTAGATTTTAGAAGTCAAAACTGTAGAAATCCCAAATTAGCGTATCCACAGTGAAGTCATTTGGCGACAGAAATCACGAAGTGGCTGTGTTGGCGCAGAAGGGTAGTGTGGTTAGTTCCTTCAAGCCACTGTACGTCATTTAGAAGATGCCGTAAGGCTTGATCCCTTGCCTGTATTCTTCCAATGTACCAGCTTCTAGATGTGTTCTTCCACCGTGCCAGCTCGGCCCAGATTGAGACATTCCTGAAGCGGAAGAGCTTCCACCTCTTGGCCAACCAGCTACATCAGTACCCAGCCACCAGGGAGCTGATGGAGGCATGTCTGACCATCACCGTGGGCAAGCCGGTCGATCTGGAACAAGGGTAACTATTCTTTGGTGGCTTTCTGAATGCCAAATAAGGCTCAGTCTTGAGGATTACGGTGTACGCAAATCCCGCCCGCTTCCAGTCTGGTGTGGAAAATTAGTAATGTACATTGTATACTTGAGGTCTAACTTTATGAGGCGCTGCCTTCAAAGTATCAAGAATTTGTACTGATTGTGTTTTTGGCTTTTCCCCAAGTTGTGGAAAAGGCATTATTTTTGTTCTGATTGTTTTTTCTTCTCCATGTTCTTCTTTACAAAAATCCCTTTACTTTGTACATCATTTCTTGCCTGGACTTTATTCCCTGGTATCTTTATCAAACTTACACAAACCAAAGTACTCAAGGCATACATTTGCCTTGAAGAGGGACATCATGATGACTTCATCAATTTAATATTTATTATCGATTTTTCAATATTTATTTTTGCCCATTGAGTTTGTACACAAATTCAACGTCCTATTTTTTTCACTTGGTGACCTTTAATCCTTATGAAAGTTATATCAAACACAGACCCTAATACAAAGATGATAACCAAAATAATGACATCATGAGGATTTCATCAAGGGATTTATTATCGGTTTTTAACATATTTATTTTTGCCCATAAACTCTGTTCACAGTTTGCAAACCTTCATTTTGGTCACATTAAGCTCTTGCATATTTATCAAAACTAAACCGAGTTAAGGTACATATACAGAGATCAAACCAAAATAATCATGTCGTGATGGCATCACCTAGGATCATGTGACATGAGATTAAAGTTGCCTTTTTTCATAGGTTTTGTTCATATTTTTCTATTATGCACTGTTTACGATCTTAATGACTGAGAAGTTCTCATTTTTGATTGGGGATTACTGTAAGAGTAAAAGAGAAATCATTTAGAATTTTCTCTTTCCTTCTATTACAAATAATTATACCCAATATTGAAGAAACCATGTCATGTTTTGTGAAAAAAAAATTAATTCAAGCGCAAATCATGTGACATGATTTAAGGGTGCAGTTTTTTACTTATGGTTTTGTATGTTTTATTTGTTTTTTTAAATGTCACAAATTAGAGCACTTTGATCTATTTGATGACTTCATTTAAGTGCTTATTTTGTCCATCAGCCTGAGCGGGTCTCAACACCAGCTCTCTGTGATGTTATCAGGTGCCACTTGACATGAGATTAAAGGTGCAATGTTTCCCGACAGGTTTAGGACACGTTTTTTGTACATTAGACTTTGTAATAACGTTGACACCCTACTTTCTCAAAAAAATCTTTCTCATTTTATTCTTTTGAACAAGTTCTTTCTTTCCTTAGAACAACCCCAATGTGGAAAATCCTATGCTGTGTTCTGAAACAGACATAGACTTCTAGTTACCGATTGCTGCCTTATCTGATTAGCCTTGCTTTGGGGTGCGAGAATTCAGTTTTTTAGCTAATTTCACCCTGAATTTAAGCTGTTTTGTGCACCTGGTCTGTACAAACGTGTGGTGAATTTTTACATTTCAGCTTTTTGCTAGCTGTTTTCAGCTTTAATTTAAGTGATCACTCACTCACATGCTTGCTCTCAGGTACATAAAAATGCATCTCTGCCATGGCTGTTTGTGGGTACATGTATGGTTAAATGATGTCGAACCCAGCTTCACAAGTAGTACAGTGACACAACAGCCATGACTTGGATGTGGCTTACAGAAGTACATACATGTATGAGGAAGAGGCATAGCTACTAGCTTGTGGCTTCCCTAGGGAAACATATTATTTCCAGCCATAACCAAGTAGATAGTTATGATAACAATAATATTGCAGCATGAAAAGGTGCACAGTATCTGCCATTCTGATGTGCTGATATATTATCGTCCCTGCTCACAGGGCTCCCAGTATCTGAACATTTCAGAGACCATCTCAACTCTCTGGGGAGTATACCAGCCCAATGCTGCCATTTCAGCAGCAAACAGCTGAACACCATATGTGTCTTCACTGGTACCCATTTCCTTCTGCACACATTGGTAAAGTGACTTGCCCAAGTTCACAATGTCTTACCGCCTGCTAGGATTCAAAGCTCTGACACTGTGACCAGAAGGTACAAACCCTACCCACCAGGCCACATTTCCCAACAGACAGACACAGCTTTGATTTTAGTGAGGTACTGCCGCTGCGTTTGCTCTGTTTCTTTTGTCGCTTTTTGTGCAGCTTCCATCCTCCAGAATTGCCCAGCGGGGGCATGGTGCCTTGCGGGAGTAGGATATAACCCACACCTCTCTTGGTTCCTGTTTTTCTCTTGTTCAGTGTGGAGTTGATGTTACTGCAGGAGGCCGACCGCTTCCAACATGTCTCCTCAGTGCTGCTCATGTCCCTCCTAGAGAACGCGGTCCACGACTTTTCTCTTTGCCACAATGGGATATGCATAGCCAACCAGGTTTGTAGAAATTTGGTAGTCTTTTCTTCTGGAGGTGTGAATGGATAAATGTGGACCAAATTGTAACACTCAGAAATTCCCTTATCATCTTTGAAGCTGGCGCAGTGCTTTGCTGTATCTCGAGTAAGGCTCTTCTGAATGCACAAAATGTACAGTGATTGCCTATTGTAGGAGGTCACTTATATGGAGCAGCAAATACTTGAGTTGAAAAGAAATTAAATCAAGCATTCAACTATACGAGCATTTCCGTGATTTTGCATACTCTATGTCCCACGCTTAACAGAAGTTTTTCCCGTGAAAACATTTATGGATTCCGGCATTTTTCATTTAATTGTAAGGCACCTAGATGATGAATACCGAAGAGTTTTGACATGACTAGTCTTTGTGATGGTTGTTTAAGAAAACGTGGCATTACGAATGGTACAAAAAGGACCTACTTGTGGACTTGCCCATATCCGTTTAGAAGCTAAATACCCAAAAATATTAGCTTGAGTCTAATCATTTGATCTTCAGTGATCCAAATGTAGTAATTCTGATTGATGCGTAGACTTAGGAGTTTTCGTGATTCATCTCTGCAGTTGTTTGAAGGTGTTGAAAGTATAGCCCATGTGATGCTCGTCAACGGCCTGGTGGAGACCTTGTGTAATGTGTTGTCTGCAGTATGCAGCAGGGCGTCCGCCGTCGGTATCACGGGGAAGCCCAACAGGCAGCGGGCAGCTTCGCCCAAGGGCAGCACGAGGTCCAGTGACAGCCCGGAGGATATCACTGGCAGGGAAAAAACAAAAACCACTCTGGAGGATTCAAGCAGGACAGACGAGGGAACTCCAAGCAAGGACGCTAACATTGGTTGTGAGGGGTCTCCAAATGGAAGTGAGACCCTGAACCCAGAAGTTGATGGAGGAGTGGGTCTAAGAACGCTCGGAAATGAGACAGGGGCTGGCATTGCACAGCCGGCAAAGGTCAATGGGTTTATGGGAAGCAATCTCGAGGAACCAGACTTAATCACACTACCCCGGGAAGAATCCACCCCATCCCTGGGTGGCAGTGATGTTGACTCAGGTGATGTGGACACTGATGGATGGGACGGAGGAGATGATGCGAGCAGCGTGTCCAAGGATCCACTTCCACGGTTACCCGATAGATTATCGGAAACAGTGCAGATTCTCATCAAGGATATACATCACTTCATGGCCTGCATTGCTAATCATGTCTTTAGGTAGTTCAGTCAATTGTTTGTATGACCATTTTATCAAGATTCTGGTTTTGTGTATTTTTAAAATTACACTATTTCAGTCAGGCTTAATTTTTATTTAGTATTTTCTTTAGGTTTGGGTTGACATTCGTTGTGCTTGCTCTCTAAATTCAGTTCTGTCAGCCAGTTTGACTACTTTGAAAACATGATGCTGCTCCTCGGTGGAATGGAGGAGAAGCTAAGAAAGAGGCACGGTAAGTGGGAGAATTAGTCTCCATTCAAGGCCATCTTGTTTTCATTTGTGGTCATCTTCACTTCAAGCTAAAGGTCTGATAGAAGGCTAATACAGTCAAAGAGGGACATGTGAATAATCCTCTAGGCTTCCTCCTGATGTGAACCTGGTATGATCAAGGAAAGTTACACACTGTCCTCTTTACTTTGTACTGTCACTGTCATTGTTCCTGCCACTCTATCATTGATACTGTCATTGGTTGTGGTCATTATATTGTGATTGCCATGATTGTTGTCATTACCAGTTGTACAGTTCAAAGATAACTGTAACAACCACTCCTGCATAACGCAGACATTGACAAAGCTTAGGTGTCACTGTCACTGATGCCAGTGTCAGTTAGAGGCCATGGTCAGTTGGTTTCATGTGTTATGATGTAACATCATTTGTAACATCACTTTGACATGATACTGTTAGTGTCACATAAGTGTCGCTGTCACAATGAATGCCACTCTCAATGGCAGGCCCGAGCTCTGTGATCCCAGATATCGTGTACGACACCCAGTGCTACATTGTCAAAGAGGTCCTGGACCACTTCAGGGCCACTTCCATGTCTGTCGACTCGGCTGTCACCAAAGGCAAGAAAGCCATGACCTTGCAGAGGAGTGTCAGCTACTCAGGTAAGACACAAAGGGGCAGGTATGTGAACTGGGACTTGAGTAGGGTATGGTCATCACGAGGGGGGAAGTTGTGCTCCTTCCTCCCCCCTTCTGGGGAAAAAGTGGAAAGTAAAAAAGGTGGGGGGGGGAGGTGAAGAAACGAAAGAAACAAAGAAAAGGAGGAAAAGGGATGAAAATGATGAATTTGCCTCAATAACCTTGGATTGACCCCTCTTCCATGGTTAATGGTTCACCAGATTGCTACTGGTGAGTGCTCAGCTGCCTCCCCTCAAAGGAAGAAAAGGGATGAAAATGATGAATTTGCCTCAATAACCTTGGATTGACCCCTCTTCCATGGTTAATGGTTCACCAGATTGCTACTGGTGAGTGCTCACTTTAAAAAAAATCCTGCAACGCCCATGGAGAAGGGTACTTCTAATATGCTGTTGAACTGCCTGACAGCTAAAGATATTCGTTGCAAAGTGCAGTACCTAAGCGAGATGCCATGTAACTTGTATTGCTGATTAGTAGTCTTGTGCCAGTTCTTGCGAAGCAAGTGAATATGGCTTAGAGTAACGTTGTCTGGATCATTCAGAGGTCTGTAATGTGTCTCTTTTTAAATTGTTTTTTGAAGGCCATTTCTGAAACTGTCCCTTTTTTATCTTTTTTTATCTTTGAGTTTTTCTAAGACAGTTTTTGTTCTTTGGGGAAGATTGAGTAAGTTAGAAACAGAAAAACAATTTGAAAATGTAGGATATGTAAAAAGTGTTCTTCAGATTAAATTGGAAGGGCAGACTTTGAGTCGCTGATAGTAGCAGACAATATCGGCCTTTTTTCAAGGTACTGTGCATGCTCAGAACGATACGCATGCTCAGAACGATACGCATGCTCAGAACGATACGCATGCTCAGAACGATACGCATGCTCAGAACGATACGCATGCTCAGAACTGGTAAAAAGGACCAGTATGTTTGCCGCCAATAAACCTCTCTTAGTCTTCAATTAGTCTTCAATTTGTGTCTTTTCAGAGCGCAAGTATGAGGAATACAAATGGAAACGGCGCAATTCTTCCGATTCAGAGGCCAAAGGTAGGTCAGACGAATCTTGCCTGGTTTTTTTTTTCAACTTTTTAAGAACAGAAGCATTAGTTTACAATCTGCTCCACGTTCCTTTAAAATCGGCTCACACATACCAACTTTTCAGGTTGATCGGGGTAAGTCTTCATCTTTGGAAATTTTAAGAGCTTTCATTTTAGGAATTTTGTTCTTGCTTTTGTGTTTGATGCGAGGAAGCAGCCGTTTGGAAACTTCACGTTGGGTATCAGATCAAATATTTGTGTTGCAATTTGCAAAAGCGAAAATTCGCTGCATATTTTTTGTGATGTCCAATTCGCTTCATTTACGCATTTGTCTGAAGTATGAACGGACCGACCTTAAGTATGGTGTTTGGCAGTGGTGTATTGGAAAGGTCTTGCACAATTCTCTTTGCACAGTGAATCCTAATTTTTGTGTGTTTTGAAAATTTTTTTCCCCCAAGGCTCAAGGGGGCGCTTTGCATCCACTAGCAGCATTACCACTGAGTTTGGTATGTCCCTCATTTCGGAGTCCAATTTGGACGACACAATGTCATTAAGCTCTGAGCAGGAACAGCTGTCTGATTTTTGCCTGCAGGCAGAAGGTAGGCCGTAAATGCATAATGCTTCATTTCCTGACACTATCATCATTCAGTATTGCTGATTATCATATGGAAAAGTTGGCGATTAATTTTGGTTTGCAGTTTTGTTTTGCTGCAGCATTCGAAATTACACCATTTTGTTTCAGTTGATTTTATGTTTACTTTCGGATTTGCAACTTAAATGAAATATTTGATGCGTTTTTGGTTTCTATGCTGAAACAAATTTCTGCAATCCTGATTAAACCTTGTCATTCCGTACCTTTTCTTTTGAGTACAACGCATTAAGCCATTGAGCAACCCTTCTTCAGAAATGTTTTTAGTTAAAGGATAGCTGCATTCAATTGTTTTGTTTTAATACAAACCTTCAAAATGCACCTCAGTTAATCTGAGTTTCAACTTTTGTTTCACTATTTCAAAGGGTATTTTTTGTTTTTTATGCCAATGATATTTCCATATTCATGAGCTAAACGGTGATGTCATCCCAGGAAGAAAGCCTAAATGTTACATTGGTTTGTACATAAAAAGTTGTGTATTTATTAGATTTGCTGGACTAAAATTTTCTCTTCTTTCCTAATTCATTGTTTATGTACATAGAAAATAAGTGAGCACCAATACTTTGCTCGGAAATGTTTTCAGTAAGAAAATTCTGGGTGACAACCTCAATACAAAACCCATGCAATGAACCATTTCTTGCCTGGATGACATTACAGCAACAGCGCCCTCAGTTGTCCAGGGAAGTATTGATAATTTTAGGTGTTTAAAAAAGTGCACCCTTCAGTCCATTTAACCAAATGGGAGTGTGAAAGAGTGTTCACACCCTGAAGAAGAAAGAGAACAAAGTTGCAGAAAAATTAGGTCCAAGAAAAATTCATTGGGGCTACACTTTGAAACGAAATTTTGGTTCACAAAGTGAGCAGTGTCTTCCTTCACAGCAACGTTGCCCTTTGTTGTCCGGACAATCATCTCAGGACTTGGGCCCTTGGAGATTGTCTAAGAGGTGCTTTTCTTGGCAGCACCATTGTCGCAAAAAAAAAATGGCATGATGATGTGTGTTTATTGCACTGGTTAATTTGAAGCTTGAAAAAAAACTTAAGTGGGGAAAAAAAAGTTATGATTTTTGAAAATGGTTGCTGGCAAGCAGTTTGGCCCAACTCTTTAACAGTTGTTGCTAAATCCATCAGAGTAAAAATTGTTAAATTTGTATAATTCTTGAATGTTTTCAGAAAATTTTCAGAATCCCTCAGACCCAAATTTGTGGAGAAAAGCTGCACTTGGCTTCTGTATGATGCTGAAGTGTTCAAGGGGCACTCAAAACTTACAGTGGCTGGACTTTACCTTTCACAGTCCTTTAAAATTCTCCAAACCACCTGGTGAATTTTGAATGATATGGAAAGATTAGGTTGACTAATTGTTCGGTTTTGTTCTTAGGAGCTGTGAGTAGTTTTTTTTCCATCAGGAAGCCACCATAACTGAAAGAGATGGAGATATTTTGTAAAATGCCCCGTTGATATCCTCCTCCTTTTATGCATTAATACTTTGTCTGTTTCGTCCCAGATCGCCGGTACTCGTCACAGCTGGACACCATCCTCAGAATGCAGAGGGTGCATGCGTCTTCAACGTCCAGCCGGGTACCAAGTCGGAAGAAGACCCCGGAGCTGGCAGGGGAGCAACTCCTGGCCAAACGTTTCCAGAGAATCTGCCTGCTGACTGTCAATCTAGTGGTCCAGAGAGGTAATCTGTTTGACGTTGATTGAACATCCTAAGTCTGTTCTGTGTTGTTTGCAGTATATACATCATCTCAAAACATGAAACAAAAAATTGGAGGCATGTTTAATGAGGAACACATTGTGAATACAGTGGAACGCCGCTATAACAAACATGCCAGGGTCCACGGTAAATGTTGGTTCAGCGGTCGTTCAGTATAGTGAGATTTACTGCCGAACGCTTCGTTGCCATGCTGAAGAGCGCCCTCTCTTGTGTAACTGAAGTGCATCCTCTAGTGATACCATGGTTCACTGTTTTCGTGCTGCTTTGCCTTTGCATTCACATTTAAGGTTTCCAAAAATGTATCTAAGATGGAAAGCTTGCGGTAAGCACCATGCAATATCTCTTTTTGAGTCTGTGTGGTTCTGATAAGAACCGGAGAGGCTCAACGTTTCGGACAGTGTGCTCTGTCCGTCGTCAGGAGCACAGATTAACCATGCGTGCCCTGGCTGTCACTAGAAGACGACTTTGAACAAGTGCGGACCAATGTACCCAGTTTGTCAGCTAGTTAATTACAATTAACTCGTCAACAACTAATGGCTTTCCCTTCTAATCCTTGGGAAATAATAGTCACTGGTCACTTTCCAACATAAAAATCTGACTGTTTTATCAAGTTGACGTTAAGAAATTACAAATGGCAACTGCATAGTGTTCAGTAGGTTTTGTGCATAAAATATTGGGAGCCAAGGACGATGTTGGGTACAGCCGAATGTTCGGTATAGCGGCGTTCGGTATAGAGGCGTTTGGTATAGCGGCATTCGGTATAGCAGCGTTTGGTATAGCGGCGGTCGGTATAGCGGCAGTCGGTATTGCGGTGTTTGGTATAGCGGTGTTCGGTATAGCGGCGTT